TTGCAAGGTTTGTTTTCTCAAAATCTTCAAGTATTTTCAACAAATTTCAGACCAGATAAGCCTCGAGCTCACACCTCACGTCAGCACTCTGGCCAAGTACTTGACAAAACTACGTTCCGCATGAACAAGTGGTCCGATCACCACGTCGCTGGTCCGGAAACTTTAAAACTTCCACCAGCGACCTCTAAGCCGGAGCCAGACCCGCAACTGATTCTAAGCGTCTAAGTACCCTAAGCCGAGTCATTCTCATACACTTAGCCACGTAAAGAGTCTCGTCATAAGTCGACCTCAGAGTCGCAGACAAACAAGACGACCTAGATATACCTAAGCACGTAAGTCGGCCAGACCCCGCTAACTTAGACGAACGACGGTCTACTCAATCAGAATTCGCTATCGCAGCATATAAAAAAATGGACACGAATAAAACCCATTCGAGATTGATAAAGCAAAACCCGAGCAGCCAAAGCCCGGGAAATATTATTCAAAAAGAAAGTCTTTACAAAGCAAAAAAAACGACAACAAACTATGAGACTGAGGCTGAGGAGCAGGGACGACCGGAAGCCCGTTCAGGAGAGCGAGCTCCTTGCTAGTGGCCGAATCTCTCGCCACAGTAGCGGTCTCGTTTTCATGAGCCTGAGCCTCTACTCCCATGTCATCCACGAGCAAAAGTCGATCCCTCTCCTGATCCTCCACACTCATCAGGGTCCCATACTGGTCAAAGGGGGCCACGATCTCAGTCTGAGGAGGGTTCACGGAGGCGGCTGCGGTCTCGCCCTGAGAAGGGTTCAAAGACATCTAAGGAGGAGGAGTCATCTTGAAATCGCTCTCAGTGATTTCTTCGACGTCAAGAGCATCGAAATCCTTCTCGAACCTTTCAAACTTCTCATCGAGCTCTTTGAACCGTTCGTCCAAAACATCAGCTCCTACCTTCTTAAAACCAGCGAGGTAATCCTTGATAGCCATCGCTTGGTTCATCAGGGCATTAAGCCTGTTCGCCTCCTCATTATCAGCGACCGATTTCCTGATCCTCGAAAGTTTAGCATCGCACTTCGCGATGATCTGAACAACCTCATGCCTTCGAGAAGACCGCAGACGAGCCGTCTCCTGATCAGGGAAATATTGAAGAGACTCTTTTTCGGCCTTGACCCTCTCGAGCTCCTGCTCGGTAAATTTTGCTCGTTGCCTCGCCTCCTGTGCCTTTTTGGACAGATCATCCATCAAAGTGATCTGTGCCGTGACCTTCTTCTCGAGACCAGGAACCTTCTTGGCCTCTTTCTTCACGCTTGGGTACTCCTCAAGCTTCTTCAAGAGCCCTCGAGACCGATGCTCGTATTTTTCGATGATCAGGTTCCCATGTGTGATCATCTGTCAGAAGAAGATCGATGAGCAAAGACAAGATAAAAGCAAGGATTTTGAAACACAATGCTGGGCTAAAGAGGACGATACCTCCATCACGCTTCCCGAGAACAGTTGATACGCCTCCGCCTCGATCAGGTCATCGGGCTTAGGAAAGTTGTGCTCCGTACTACAGAGGATTTTAGAGCACAGCTCGGCGCATGCCTGCGAGATACTTGTGATATAATCTTTCGACTTAAAGCGAAAAGAAAGATCATAGGTCATGGGTTCCTCTCCGGAACCAGTGGCAGCGGATTCAACAGAGGCATTCTTTTGTGCAGACTCCTCCACGCGCTGCTTTTTCTTCGATCCCTCAGCAGCGACCCCAGTGGGTATCTTTTTCCGGTCTCCTTATTAGAAATCTTCTTCAAAGCCTCAGTAGAGGGGTTCGCCACCCGCTTTCCCGTTCTTCGCAGCGAGAGAAGCCTCAGCGGTCTTCTCGGTCTGCGAAGGGATTTGCTTGGACACCCCCTGAGTGGCGATAGACGGCCCAGCCTGTTTAACGGCCGCATCAGTCCTTTTGCCCGGAACAGGACTCTCTTGAGCAACATCGGTATTGTTAACCCTCTTGAACTTGGCCTTGACCATCTCTTCCCCGGCTTTCTTTTGGCGGGGTTTATGCGGTTTGATTGGAGGAAAAGTATACGGTCTGAGCGGAACGAGGTCGAGGGTGTAGCAGCCTACCAAAATGAAAGAGAAAACTACTTCAGGAAGCAGCCTGTTTCAAGCCAGAAATTGGAAAAGACGAAGATAACATCGAATTCCAACCTGTCGTAATCCGTTCTTGACACCTTTGAATCCGCTGCTCGAGAAATTCCGGCCAAAGTTGAGGCTGCAGCTTCTTCAGAAGAGGAATCAGCGTCCTCTCACCGGGCTTTGGAGCGGTTAAGATCGGCGGAACTGGTAATATGCAAACAAAGAAGAAGATTAGGTGTCAGCCAAAACGGGCAAACTCGAAAACACAGGGACATTAAGCCTACTGATTATAATGTTCCAGCCAGCCCGGATTGGTCATTTTGCATTCTCGACGGAGGCCGCATCGATCTTCACAAAAAAATACTTGAACTCCCAGTTGTCGCACTTATCACTGATGGAGTTCGGATTTAGTCACGAGTTCCCGGGGCGCGCCGATACATAGAAGCAGCCTGAAGGCTTTCGCCACTTCAGTTGGGTCATCGCCTCGAAGGTGTCGCAGTCACATTCCATCTCATGTTCTGCGGCGAGAGTGAGGCGGACCGCGAAGTTCCGGATCGAGGCCCAGGTAAGCTGAGAGATAGCTATGCCCCGCCGGGCACAGTATTCGATCAAAATTCGGGGCAGCGGAAACCACAGCCCGCTCGCCGAAAAGAATGACTCATATAAACACATATACCCCTCTGGAGGCGTCCAGGGACGGTCATTCTTTCCAGGCACCAGAAACTTCACGCTCTTGGAGAGGTTTCTAGCAGACCGCATCGCTTCCAATGACTCAAGGGTCGATGAGGTCCTCTGGTCGTCAAAGCGGACCAGTGCAATGTTACGACCTAGACCGGGTCCTGGAGGTCCCTCCTTTCTGGGGTCGAGATCGACAAACCAAAGGAGTCGGGATCTCCCTCGACCCCCGTCAATGCGAGGTCACGCTCGGACCCTCCGCGGCTATATCGGGCTCCAGGAGGAAATGACCCGATGACTTTAGGAGTCCTCGAAGTCACGGTCGCAGCAGGCCGTGGACCCTCGACCGAGCTGGATTATGCATCCCCTTCCCTCGATATGCGGGCTCTGTGGACACGAGCTAAAGCCTCCTCTTCCATTAAAGATAGGCTGTCAAATAAGGATGCAGAAGACAAATTGACCAAATCCTGGTTAGGAGAGTTTTCGCCGGAGGAATCAATCTGGATCGGCGAGGACATCAACCAAAAACCAGATCGGGACGGAGAGCTATGAGAAGAGCGATCGAAGAACTCTAAGACGACGAAACTTGGGGATGATAAGACAGCAGAAATATCTAACAAAAAACTAGAGAGAGAAGGAGAAAGAAAAACTACCTTTAGAGAGAGAAACGAGAAGAAGCGAAGTGAGGAGAAGTGAAGCAGAGGGCTCCTCCTTTGATAGACTCAGACCGGAAGACGAACCGTCGTACCTCGGGAGAAGCATTAGGGCGGCAGAATGGACCAATCGGAAGGCGACTTCGAATTGGGCTTCGTTTCTCAGGCCTAGGAACGCGGAAACAGCGAAGCTCGGCCCATCCCATTTCGCTGACTGGGGGGCTACTATTGGGCCTGAGCCTGCGGTCCAAATGATCTACGACCCGGCGGTTAGCGGCCCGAGAACAATGGAAGCCCAACTCAAACAGTAACCGCAGTCTGGTTAAGCCTGAGTCAGATTCAGTAACTACGGTTAATAAAACCTAGTATGTACCCTCAAAACCTTGTACTATAAATAGGGGAATAAGCTGATGTGAAAGGGGAGGATTCCATTCTCTGAGGGAAAGTATAAGGGACCCAGAGCATAACCGTTCATATCTCTAACTCCGACAGAGAACTCACCGGAAGGCCACCGCCGATCGGGAAACACCGCAAACACTCACATTACACACTAGCTCGCAGCGAACAAGTAGCCCGGGATCTGTGCGGCCTACTACTCTCTTTCTAGTCTATAGTAATCAGGTAGACCGGGATCTGTCCGGACTATCTATAGCAGTCTTCTTTGTAACACTCATTTCGGGCTCAACTTCTAATACACGAAACCCTCCGACCTCCTATGTACTATAAATTCATTGTTCGATCTTTGGGTAAAACAGTCCCTATCTGTGGCTTGAAGCGTTCTTGTTACCCGCAAAAATTTCCTTTAAAACCATCACATTCTGAACCGAATCCGGTTCATGAGAAGTCGGTTCAAGGTACGAACAGGATCAAGGTTGTTCCACCACAGAATCAAGAACGAGAATTGTTCGATGGTTCGGTCACAGTCGGTGCTGCTCCGTCGCCAAGACACGTGCCGATTCCGATATTTTGCGTATGATGGACAAAATATTGACTATTAGTTGAGTATTCAAGTGAGAAGAAAGACAAAACTTTCAAGAGTGTTTGTTTAGTTTTGATAGGAAATTTTAATCTTTCTTTTGTGGCAAATCTTTGTAGTCATGTGTATTGACTATTGAGTATATATATTCACTAGCTATTATTAATTGTAAAAGATCCACAGATAAGAAACACTAATTTCTTCTTTTTCAATACTACTAAACTGGTATAAAAAAGGATTTTTTTTGTTTAACATACAATGGTAACCATTAATTAAGTTTTGGTTAGTCCAATTCGGTTGTAGGTTTTAAACAAAATCTTATCTTTGTTTTTGACAAATCTTTATTCTACGTTAGTGTTCAGTACTCAGTAACCGTACTTGAGTCACACATATTAGGAGAATTAGTAAAGTAAATTTGTATGATTTCCCAAAACAAAACCTTCTTCTTCCATTCCATATTTCCATGGCAGTAATCTGTATGGTAATTAACGAGTCTTATCAACACTAGGCTAGTAAAAGTGATGGATGAGATGAGAGATAGTAGTAATCTGTAACTCTTTACACATTTATAAGAAAAACAAAACTGTTTTTAACTTTGGTTGGGGGGACAATAACAAAATTTTGAATTCTCTATCTTTAAATCTGATTCTGGTCAAGAAACTCTTCATAAGCAGAAGAACCACTAGAAGAGTCGCTTTCGTATCGATCTTCTTCCTTAGGAGGAGACAGAGTAGGCGAGAGTTGGGACTTCTTAGAACCTGCAACACAACACAAC